ATTTATATAAATTTCTATAAAAACAGTCGTTGTATGGCAACAGTTCGTTCAACACCTTATTAAGATAGTGATGCTTCATAATATAACGCAAAATATAAGGAAACACTGGTTCACCACGCGCATAGGAATGAGGATATACCCTTAAGAAACCTTGTTCCTTATAATAATCTATTACTTTGGTAACATTCGGATGTACTGTTATTGAGTAAGCAATTACTTCTTGAGCACCAAGTATGCGCATCATTTCCATCCATTCTACCAAGCGTGCGGATATATCAACAAATGGAAACACCAAATTCTTCAAACAAACAGCAAAACCACCTTTCGTGATATTTCGTGTTGGTGGTTCATATATAACTTTCAAGTGATTTGTAGCTCTTTCGCATTCCTCAGCAACAATGGATACACTTTGTGGTACTTCAGAAAGCTTATTTCTTGGTAGTACACATGTTATCAAATATGGATACAAGACATTGGGGTTAGTGCCCCAATTCTTAAACCAAATTGGAAAGTATTTTGTTATGGGCACAATAATAGGTTCTTTTTGGTCTTCATACCATAATTGACAATAACTAATTGGAAATTCCTCTTCGGTTTGATTCACCATCGCCAAAACTCGTATTACTGGATGATCTGGAACGGCAGCCCGATTGTCATAGTATGCTCCGAACAGTTCAAAAGTCACATTTAAATTTTCAAATTCCTGATAAAAATTATTATGAAACTTTATATGCAAAATATTGGGATATTGAGCGCAGGTAGAATTTATGCCATAACCCTTATCTTTATTTTGTATATAAAGTTCAAACGGCAAATTGGGCAGTTCTTGATCAACACCTTCAATCATTTGCTCGATAGTGGGCTCTAAATAAAATTCATTAAAAATTCTCATCTTATCAAATGTCGAGTTTTTTATTTACCTCGCACTAGGGTATCCAATTTCAAATGTTCCGGATATATGGGATTAGAAATACTGTCCATATACCAGGCGATTGAGAAAATAAAAAGTTCCACTAGAATGACAACTCCCAAAATATAAAAACAACGTTTAGGAAACATTTCGTTTTAAAAAAGGTAATAAACGAGTATATACAAATTAATTTTTACTTCCGCAGTTGAATTGAAATCTACAATTCAAAATGTATCAAAATATAATTTATGAGAAAATTTTAAAACACACAAAACTAATATATAATAATTTCTAAATAAAAAATATTAACCGTATTGAAAAATCATTTTGACATAATAAGCAATGTATTTTTATTTTAGTTATGTGAATTTAATTTATTTTATCATATATTGTATCCTTATGGTTCTATCTCGAGGGGGAAAGGGTGTGAACATGTAAAGTATCTGATTTCATTTAACTTATTCCTTGTCTGATTCCTTGTCACTGTCCTTTCCAAGTCGACACACAGCTTCCACGCGTCCACCCCTGGATAACTACAATCATTCGTATATACTGATATATGCAGCAAAATCCTCCTCATGAATATATGTGATTATGTGTCGGGCTTAAAACCTACCATATAAAACCATAACTCCAATGAAAACGAAGAGTCAGCCCCGTATTAGAAAACCATTTACTCTTGTCGGCACACGTAAACGTTTTATGGTTTTTAAGTTCGATTTAAGAATATTCACCTGGAATGTCTAAACTCTTTACAGAGAATGTGCATCTATACAGGTGGTTAATGTCCTCAAGAAATATAAACCTGACATTACCGCCCTCCAAGAAATGCGACGGACGGGACAAGGATGCTCTAAAAAAGAACACTGTGACATCTAGTACAGCTGCCATACAATAAAGCACTAATTCAAAGTCGGATTTGTGGTAAGCCGAAAGTTGAGAAATTTAGTCTTAACCTTCACACCAATAAACGCAAGGCTTGTTGAAATCTACAATAAACCAACATTTTTTTCACATTAGGCTAATTTGCGCACACGCCCCTACGAAAGATAAAGATGACGACACCAAAGAAACTTTCTATGAACAGTTTGAACAAGCATATGAACGTTGTCCTCATTCTGTCGAAGTAAATTTAATCTTACCGGAAATACTACGCATTTAAAATAAATATGACACAATATATAAATTAGATTATCCTCAGTTATACTTTGTACTCATTGAAAACCTATGATGAGAAAAATTATTGTCCTCTCTCTCTCCCTCTCTCTTTCTCACTCTCCACAGTTGTCTATCATACTTTATCCATATTCTATTCGCTCTTGTTCTCTCGTCTTTAATTTTTTTTCCTCTACCTTTGTTCATCTTTTACTATGTCTTTTTATCTCTTTCTTTTTTTCTTTTCCGTTTTCTAAACGTTTATTCTCTCTTTTTCTATACATATTTTTCTCTTTTTTATTCGCTTTTTTTCAATTTTTCTACCCGCTTTTATTTTTTTATTCTCTTATAAATTAAGTCATTAATAAGTAAATATTTATATAAAATCTCAACGTTTGGTTAAATTGTTGGATTCTTATTATTTCATTATTCCGGAAATGTGTCTCATTTATAAACCAAATGTATTATATTCATTAAATTTCAGAAATACTTATTAGATTATGTATGGAATTATATAAAAACAGTTATCAAAATAATATTTGATAAAAATTTTCTGACCGAGCCGATGAGCTTCCTTTTGTTTTTAATATGGTTGTGATAAAAAAAAACACTCTTGGAATAAGAATTAATTAGCAAATATAATTTTAATATAATAATAATAATAATTAACATATTTTTTTTATATTTTTAAGGCTATAAATGGATTATGAAATACGAGCCTTTGGTCACGTGTTAGTACTACAAAATTACATTATTAATATCCAATTTAATTTTCGTTTATTGCCTTCTTAAAAAAATCCAATTCCTCAAACACTTTTAAAGAGCGTTTCACTAAATTTTCCTTAAAACGCCAAATATTAGAATCCAACACAGTTAAATTCAAAGTATTCTTATCGTCTGGATCACGATAATGTTGAAGTTGTGCATCAGTAATATTTATTTCCAGTCCACCACAACCCAACCAATCCATACTGTAGTGATTGTGAAGTGTTAAAGCATAATTTGTGCTGTGTAGACATTTCGTGGCCCAGCCAACAGGCATGTGCTCCTTAACTCTCTTTACATGTTGTAGCATATGAAAATATTTCGGAATATCTGTCGAAAAAGTACTCTGAACAAGTGGATAATATGTATTTCGAAAACAGATATCAGCGAAAGTCTCACAATTTGGACTTTCGTATTTTTGAACATATTCAACAATATCATACCAAGACGTCCAATTACCCAGTGGCATAATCACTTCGTCAGTATCGATGCCAGCCAAGTAATCATATTTATATAAATTTCTATAAAAGCAATCGTTGTACGGAAACATTTCGTTCAACACCATATTTAGATAGTCTTTTTGCATAATAAAACGCTGAAAATTGGGAAAAACTGGTTCACCACGTGCATAAGAATGGGGATATACTTTAAGAAACCCCGTTTCTTTATAGTAATCCATTACTTTTGTTGCATTTGGATGTACTGCAAGTGAATAAACAATTACTTCTTGTGCACCAAGTATTCGCAACATTTCCATCCACTCTACCAAACGTGCGGATGTATCTGCAAATGGAAAGACCAAATTCTTCACACAGACCGCAAAACCGCCTTTCGTTCTATTTCCTACTGGTGGTTCATATATAACTTTTAAATGATTTGTAGCTCTTTCGCATTCCTCAGCAACAATGGATACACTTTGTGGTACTTCAGAAAGCTTATTTCTTGGTAACACACATGTTATCAAATGTGGGTACAAGACATTGGGGTTAGTGCCCCAATAATTATGCCAAATAGGTAGGTATTTTGTTATGGGCACAATAATAGGTTCCTTTTGCTTTTCATACCACAACTGACAGTAACTTGTTGGAAATTTCTCTTCAATTTGGTTAACCATACCCAAAATACGTATTACAGGATAATCTGGAACGGCTGTACGATTGTCGTAGTATGCTCCAAACAGTTCAAAAGTCACATTCAAATTTTCAAATTCCTGATAAAAATTACTATGAAATTTTATGCTAAGTAATTCGGGATATAAAGCACAGGTGGAATTCAAGCCATAATTTTCGTTTTTATTTTTTTCATAAAGTTCAAGTGGTAACATTGGTAATTCTTCATTGATGCCTTTAACCATTTCCTCATAGCTTGGCTCTGAAAGAGTCTTTATATTGAGTTAAGTCTATTGACAAAAAAACTTTTTACCTCGTATTACGGTATCCAATTTAAGCTCTTGGGGAATTATAGTTTTACTTACTTTAGTTTTGATATTCGTGCAAGCAAAATTCAATAAAATAATAGCTACTAAATTTATAACAGTTATAAAAGCCAAGATTTTGAAACGACGACTGGTAAACATTTTACTTGATTTATTTGTATTTTAATAGAATTTCACTTTTGGAAAAATGCACAGAGATTTTATTATGTGATCAGTTGCACAGCCCAAATTGATCAAACAACTCGATCTGAATATTGAATATATTAAACTAATTTCATAGCAATCAATTTGCATATTCTATACATTAAAATAATGTTAGGAATAGACAAAACAATTAAGTTGATTAATTTGTCAGCAAAATAATTTTTTTTTTATCATCAGTTTGTTTTTATCATAAGATATAAGATACACTGACAAATTTAAACAGCACATTTATTGAAAGTTTTAGATTTTTTGTCAGCATTTCATAAATTATGTTTAAATTTACATTAAAGATAATATACAACTTGTATGACGGTCTTGCTCCACCAATTACAAAATATTATCGGTTTTCTCATTGGTTTCTCGGCAAGAGCGAGTTGCATCTTTGGCATCGAAATTTTTGAACGAAACCACGTTTGTGTCCAGCATTCACGTACTGCAACCTCAGTGTAAACCGCACAAGTTTTTCGAAATGCATAGCTCATTTCTTCAGATATTAGACAAATTACAATACGACGTAAAGTTTCATCTTTCGAATAGCTGTTCGTTGTTAAAATCACATTAGTACTGCCAGATATATGGGTACCAATACCATGCAGTGACAAAATTGTCAATATGCGCCCCTCCGAAATGGCTTGATACCCTTTTTAGAACATTATTGATATGATTATAATACGGCATGGACCGCTAATGATCACAATTGAATTAACTAACTATAGTAATTGGTTGTGGGTGTACAAATAGGAGTGATAAGTAGCAAAAACATAGAATAAGATGTTGTTTCAAGTACGAATCTTCAACCTTTCCCATCCAATTTTTTGGTCTCATTAATCTTCATTGATTATTGCAATGTCACAACAATCAAGTAGTAGACAACTTGAGGAGTCTGTAAAAAGTAAAATAAACAAATATCAGAACACTGTTGCAAGACATTCTATAAAAGCAATGCTATAAAGCAATAGTATACTTGAAAAAACTTGTGGACTGCAACGAAGGAGATAGTATAGAGTTCTAATGCAAAATAACTTCAAGGAACAATGCTATAAGGTGATGAACATTATGGTTGGTCAATGTTGATAACTACGCCATCTGTGACTTGAATTTACTTATTTAATTTTGAGTTGCGAGAAATAACTGGACAATTAATATTAATAAAAGATTTACTCCCACTAAAAAAACTAATTATAACTTTTTCGTGGTCTTGACCACTTCACATTGTTCAATATAGTAATTTTACTAACTGGAGACTGTCCAAGATTAGATATGGTAACCAGTTATAGGATCCTTACTGCCAAAGTTGTAAGTCAAAGAGAAATGGTAAAATTTAATTGATTTGCTTTGTCACTACTCGACATTGAGATCTCCATTTTATCTCCATTAAAAGTGCTTTAGTTAGTTAACGTGCCAAGGTATTAGTACAAGTCTAACTCTTAACCTCAACATGAATATATGAGATGAACTGTCACTGACATTTATAAATATATAGACATAATCTTACTCCACAATCCACTTTTTTATTATTATTATTATGTTAAAGCTATTTGAGCCAGTGCACTTCAGCACTTTTATTCTCTATTAACTCGAGGTATCTTCGAAACCCCTCTTTACGCCTTGTCTGGATTATTGTTTATCACTTCATCAGATAATTGATGATAATTAATCAGATAATTAATTCAGCAATAATTGACCTCAGATCTGCATTTTTGATACTCAAAATTTATCTATTGTCTATTGTGAACATTTAGTTAGTCTATAAAAAGTGTTTGCATTCTGCATTAAGTACTATAAGCAATAATTGCGGTATCATATATTATGATTTTAATTTTTAAATAGATATCAGAGCAAAAAAATTTAAATTAAAAACTAAAACTCTGTATTGCATTAAATCTTATTAATAATCTATTTAATTATCTGAACTTACTTCGGTGCAAATTGTAGCAAATGGTTCTAGATAGAAATGTAAACTTAAGTAGGAAAAGTAAATCGTTTACCAACTGGATGGATCTATCTAACCTTTGCTTTGTGCAAGGAATTGGCATTTTTTGTACTATATTGGGGTTTGTTGTTTTCTGTTGTGGGTTTTCTAATTGCTATTGCTATTATTATGCTGTGATTTATGGCTCCAAGAATACTGTGCGTTGAAAATGATTTCAGTTATTTTTATAGTTTTACTTTGTAAATAGTTTAGATTAATTTGAGTCTGCTAAACTTAAATTCACAACCTGCTTTTCTTCTAGATATATAAGTGTCAGGTAAATAACAGATAAAGTTGAATAATTTTGGCTTCAAAGGTTTAATGAAATTTGTTTTTATTCTAAGAATAACGCTATAATAAACATTTTCTTCTTATATATCCTTTCCCAAATTTCCTTCCTTCTCTCTCAAATAGATGGTCTTCCTTGAAAAAAAGGGTTTTTTGTGTTTTGTATATATGTTAAGTGATAATATATTTTAATTCTGTCTATTTGTATCAAAAACTGTAGTATAAAGTCGTAATACATAAAATGAGTCTTATTACTCCCAAAAATGTTCTTGAAATAGAACTAAATCTGAAATAAAAAAATGTTCTCATAAATGTTTATAAGTTTAAAATCATTGCATTGCATCATTGTATGCAATAAAAGTATAGTCTCTCAGTTATGTTCTAAGCCTAGTAATATACATACTATATGACTTGCCTACGAATCCCCAACTATTCTTTGATATCCATTTCACGGTATACGAAGCATATAGCTATATGGGTAGCCGAAAACTTTATTTCTTGAATAATGAAGTAATGTATAGTATAAAATTTAGTACTTTTTTAGAGTTTCGTAACATGTACTAGATTAAGAAATGATACTACTCAAAAAACGTATTTACTAAAATCTTTATCTAATTTTAAGTACTATGGAGGACAGTCTGAATTACAGTTAATGTTTCTGTACTCTACTGTCTTTAATGTCTCACTCACAACCAGTTATAGTTTTCGTCCGTAATATATGGGCGATCAATTTATCTACTTCGTTCAAACGAACAAAACATTGACATAAAAAAAAGATTTTATTATAATATTTATATTAAATTTTATTGTTGAATTAATAACATTTTTTTATTTTTCTTAATAAATCAACTCATAGATCAACTAAAGTAAGTTGTAAGCATTTTTTATCCTTTTGTTTTCCTTGTAAGAAACGAATTTCAAAGTATGTATCAGTTTATAATGAATGGAATTTTATTAATTTGTTCATTTTATGGACAGCACACCCTGTATATGTGCAGTGTAGAAAAAAATTCTTATGGCTTATGAAATGAGACCATTACTATATATCAGTACTGATTTAATAAAAGTTTTTATGAAAAAATAAGCAAAAAAAAATTATTTCAAAATGATATATTTTATATTGTCTAAAAACATTTTAAATATCCCTCGTATTTCTATGGTGAATATTAAACAAGTGCCACCTTACTCCAACATAACAAAATACATTGTGTTATACAGCATACAATAACACATATTATACAAAATGAATGAAATGTGTATATTTCTTATCTTATCTGTTTATTATTAAAAAAAATTTCTAGAAATATAAGTTGCTTTCAAAGTGAACAAAAATAACCAAACAGAAATGTTTGGCAAAACAGATTTACTTTTTCAAAATAGTCCCATTCCGAATCAATACATCGATTTGCATGGACTGAAAGTATTTTGTCGGGGTTGTCTTTAAGGATGTCGTAAGGATGGCTGCTACGTCTATATTGGCAACTGTGATTTTCCGAAACGGTAAAAAAAACTAACAGATTGAATGAATTCAGAGAGTACTTAACCTATCCGGCATGTTATTACCTGTAGATGGCCTCACGTCGAGTTTTTTCGTAACCTTCTTTACTTTTGAGAATACATTACATTTGCATATAAGTTTTTTTTAAAATAAAAAAGTAATTATTTACATAACTAACATTGTTAACATTATATATAGTGCAGTAAATTATGATATATGTAAAAATCAGCAATGCTCAAAAAAGGACACACCCTTTATTAGTTTGTATTTGATAAGCGTTTATAATATAGACGTAGATAAACATAATAGTAATTATGAAAGTAAATTAAGTATTTTAGGTGAATCTAATATCAGTTAATATTGTTAATTTATTTGAGTTGTTAGATTGCATTAACATTGATAACATTAGTCAATACTTAAACATATGGGGGTCATGGGTGTGCTGTGACTCAGCGCTAAAATACTTTTAATCGCTCAATCTTTAAATGATAAATATATATTAAAAACTAACATTATATGATTTTTTGAGATATGAACATATAGGGGTTTTATCATACTAGAATAATTTTTGACTGACACTATGAGTTTTTTTATAGCTTCAAATTTATATAATCCATTCAAGTACTTAACACATATTGAAAAAATTTAAAACAATACAAAATATTTCACAGAAGCTTTATAGTCATACATAATACATAATATACTGACTTTAATTTAATTCATGTTCAGACGTAGGTTCATTTTATGTCAATTTAATCCTTAAAAGTCATGCATTGACTTATTAATATGTATTCAGTTTTTATTGGCCATTGTTCCATTAGTTCCATTAGTTAAATTTACTAAATCACAGAAACCCACAATAAAATAAAATAAGTGCTTTCTTCACTCGCTCTGAGGAAGAAAACCCTGATCAACCTCTAAAACTGTATTTGCAAATAAAAATCATACTAAAATGTC